GGATTTAACAAATATTTTTTCTTGGTGGAATGTGTCTTCAGTCACTCAGTTCTACACCCTCCCATATTCAATTAAAAGCAAATTTATAGCTGATACTCCATAGAATTAATTTAAAACAGAGGTAATTTTAAAAACTGAGAGGGCAAATTGCTTAGAAACCATCAAAACGTTACTATTCAGAGACTATGGCATACCAAAGTTATCAAAAAAACCCAGGTTCAGCCTTGGAAACTATTCCCTGCTTGTTACCCTTTCCAGTCCTACAGCAATCCTGCCATTGATTCAGCATCAAAACTGAAATGGATGCAAAATTCAGCATCTGGGGTTTTTGACAAGTTTTGCACCAGCAGGTCTCCACCCCATGTCCCCAGCTCAGGCTGCGTCACCTTTTGGGACACACCCTGTCCCAGAACTTTGACTCCAAGTTCTCATGTGAGGCCATCCTTCACTTCTCCACTGGGAAAGTCTTTCTGGTTTTGCAGGCATATTGCCAAACACAAGGGGATCAAGTGGATTTACACCCTCTAGGTGCAAGGCCCTAGATTTTAGGCTGTAGTTCATTTGTTCCCACTGCCTCATTCAGCCCAGATACGAAACTTTCTTCTGAAAAGTACGGCACCACAAACCACCACAGACTATTATTATTATTTCTTATACATACAGCAGTTTAATACCCTCTGGGACAAGATTCCCCAGACTTCAGCTTAAAAAAGTACTGAAAAAGACCTTCCATAAATTCACACCTTCCAAAATTCTAATTTATGTATAATGCTCCAAATTTTGCACATCTCTCTCTACAAGTTAAAAACCAGCACAACATAGAAAATCGCTTCTGCAAATTCCCACTCCTATACAGTATTCAGATAACAACCTCATAATGTTATCATCAAAAGCATACGCTCCCTCCTTGCAGTACTGTTCTTCATTTAAAACCTCATAAAAGATTATAATTATTTTAATCAAACAAGCATGGTAATACATGAAGCAGATGTAGGATCCAATCCACCTAACTTAGGTGATGAACTTGTGCTACAGCACAAAGAGACTCCTTCACCTAAGCTGCAGACATAACTGGATGGTGCAGGCACAATGGAGGTGTTTCAAGAGAAATCCACTCTCTGCCTAATTCTCTGGAGACCTTCATAGCCACCCACTGACTTTACCACCTAGGAGGAGAATTTATGGACTCAAGTCAACACCAACACTTCATTAAGTGCCTAAAATACAAGAATAAGTTAGGAGCCCAAGTTAAGGAGCCCAAATCTCTCCTGGACACTTTTAAGCTCCTGGTTTTCTTCCTTGCCCCTTACTAGAACTTCTCTTGTCATCTGAAATATAGATGTACGCAGGGGAATAAAGTGGGTGGAAATCTAATTCTAAGTTCCTATGCTTTCCTTTGTTGTGACCTTCTGAAAAATGTTTTCTTTCAAAACCAAGGGTGACTGAAATGAGGGCATTGCACTGTGTTGTTGCTCCTGCTGAAATCAGCCAGTCAGCGCCACAAACATGACGGCATAAAACATGCTCCTCTAATTACACTTTCCAAACTGCTTGGATTTTTTAGAAACACAGAATCAAAATGTGCCATATGCACCACCCTCCTGCTATAAATATGATAAAAAAGAAAGTGAAAAGGGAAAAAACCAACATCTCTGAATGTTGTTATCGTTGTCCTTCTGGGCCTCCTCAGCCCTCCCTGCTTCCTCCTGCCAAGAGCTCGAACCACCTCACAGTGCTGTCAGCAGTGCAAAGACATCGCCTTTGCTGCGCAGGGAAGCAGCAGGAATGCAGGATTTTTCTCCTTGAAGGCTGGTTTCAGTCTAAGTGAGGAGACTGCCCCACAGCCACAGGGTTGGAAAGATTCCTGGTTTCTCCATACCTCGAGCAGTATAAACAGTGGGACAACCACATGCGGCAAGTCCTCCAAGAAAACAGTACCTGTGGCCAGCCTCAAGTTCCAACAATCCCAAAGCTGATGTGACTTGAATACCACTTCAGGTATGACTGATAGCATTTTCCAGCAAATTAAATAGCTTTACAGAAATATTTCTGACCAACGCTACCTCTGAGCAAGATTACACGGAGTCATCCAGCAGTCACAGACACACTTCTTCTAGGCTGTTTTCATCAAAGTTTTATTCGGTTTATAAATCAAAATAAAATATTTCCTGCTGCCACTCTATACAGTAATCCATCGTTTTATTTTCTCTAGGGAGGTTCTGGCACCTATGAACAATAAAGACTGAGGAGCTTTAGCTCAGCTAACTGCTCCTTCACTGCACACTATGGAGCTGAAAAACACATTTACAGACCTGTAAGTGCATTTACCCTGAAAAGCAGAGGGTATTTGCCATTTTTACTGGGCCCCTTGCTAATATTTCTCATTGCTTTCTTAGGCACTGAGATATTTTTCACAGAAAATATCAACAAAATTTAAAAGATAAGAGGGTTGTGGCAGCAGGAAATGAGAAGAGCTGAAAAGTGTCTTGTATTGAATGGTATAAAAGTTGCAAAGTGGCCCCTCACTCTCCTCTGCTTGCATCTGCAAGACAAGGGGAGGAAGAGCTCGCCCCTGTCAAGCTGCTTCTACTCTGAGGTCCAACAAGCCACAGCATCTCCAGAGGGAGGTAAACTCAGGTAAATAAGATATTACAGATATGTGCATTTATTTTTGAACAAGACATAAATTGGGTCAGCTCCCTGGTTTCAGTGTGACCCACAGTGATACAGGACACGAGCATTTCTGATCAAGTCCAATTATCTGCTTCTGTGCTGTAGCTGAGAGATGCTGATCTTCCACGTAAACCTAACCCAGCTTCACCCTCGGCAAACCTTGTATTTATGGTTTAACTACTTTCTTAAGTAAACGTCCCACTGTCTCCTGTTAGCCTTGTCCTAATAGCAAAGCTAAAAGCATCCTTTTGATGCTGACCCATATTTTCTACCTAATTGTATCATCTGAGTCCGTTAAGAACAATTTTTCCTCATCCTTTATGTCAAAGCACGTAGGCAGACTCCTCTGAATCACTGATTTTTGTTTGTTCAGGTTAGACTAAAAAATTAAATGTTTTTACTCTCTCTATGTGGTTTTTACTCTCAAGACACTACAGCATTTCTTTACTCTTCTTTGAACCCTCACCATCTAGGATATAATATATGCTGTTAGATAGCTAACAAATGTATGGGTTCATCCAGGGTTAAACAGGATTGACTGAATTATGGACACTGAACCCAGTTACAGTGATCTTGATCAATCTGACTATTTTTAAAAGTTTATTTATTGCCATATGAAGACAATTCTTTCTTGCAATTTTGCAGAAATCCTAAGAGACAGAGTAAGTGGTTCCCATATGCAACTTTCTTTACTTTAAGCATGATTTTGTGATGATTTTTTTTGTTTCCCAATGATATCACTGAAAACAATTTTGCTCAATTTAAAGTAGTTGAAACTGTTTGCAAATGTTACATGCAAATTTCCATCTACACAGGAAATTTTGCTTTTATTTCCATACAAATATATTGCCTCAGAACCTTTCAAACCTTGCCTCTAAATCTGTACTTATTTTGAAGTTGGGCAACTGGAGACTTTTTTTTTGCCCCCCTCCCCCCTCCCCCCCCCCAAGAATTTTAGTTAACTATGAAAGGAAACCAAGTGAATTTTAATTCTGGTTAGGGAAAAATGGAACAGTAAAAATCATAATAAATGATCTGTAATGGGAGCAAGCCTTCCAAACTGCACTTGTTTACTGGATATTAACATAATAATTAATTAACTCCTTTTTTGGAGGGGGATAGGCAGAGAAATATTTACTCATGATGACATACTCTGAGGAAGCATCTGATTTACAATCTTGCCCTGCTTTTGCTCAGTTTTATAGCTGACCTGATCAAGGTTGGAGGAGGTCAGTAACTTGGCTGAGGTCAAATTTGCTCATTGAGTTTTGCCTGCCTTAATTCTTTCCTCCATTACGTGAGGTTGGCTTAAAAGAACTTGAAAAATATCTGAAAAGATAGTGATTTAAAATATAAGTCCAGAAAAAGAAAGAAGATGGAAAATTATGATCCAAAAGCATGACATGACACAGAGAAGTTCCCAAAAGAACGGTAAAACTACCAACTGGAACAGGAGGTTACTTTGGGTAAACCATGATAGCAGAAAGCAAAAGAACACCTGATCAGGTTTTTCACCATCACCTAATGTCTACTCAGCTAATACTCTAAAAAGACAGTAAATATTTAAAGTAGGATGAAAATAAGGCACAAAAAATGGAGGACTACACTACAGGTCTCCCAGCAGGACAGAAACAAGCTCCACCAGTCCAAACTGCTGACTCTTACATGCAAAAAACCCTTCATATGTCCATCTTCTACACTGATACTGGCCTCAAACTGTCTTTAGAACGCCAGTTTTCCAACACAGGCTCCATTGATAGAATGTAATAGGATCATTTCAAACGTAGGAGAAATCCAGCCTGGAAGACATTCAGCCAAGGACGAAAAAAAAAACATCCAAGCAAGGCTAAAATTCAGATCCCTTTTCTAAGGGTAACAGAAACAAATTGCTCCATATCACTGCTCTTCTGTTGCCTTCTCAGCTCAGATACCTCCAAACACTGAAGATACATGAGAAAAAGCAATAAGCGGGTAAGAAATTCATCAGTTTTCTTCAGTTGTCCCAGCTGATGTAAACATAAATTAATAGGACCAAAGGACACCACAGAGCCTCTCTTTTTTAAAGCAAGCATGCAAACAACTTGTATGTACAATATAAGAGAATACTCCTCAAAGAGGGAAAAAAAGATATAACAAAAAAGAAACGGAAATAAAAATGCCTTTAATTTTAACTACACAAAGCTAAGATTACCAGTGAAGCTCAGGAATATTTTCTACTTGTGAAAAGACATCTTTTCTCTCTTCAAAATGCATCTCTTTCCAAAAGCTGAACAGGTGCCTAAAATTCTGACGAAACTGCTCACGCCACAAAGACACAAGTGCCTTACCAGGATCATGTGACCGGTGGAGATGTCCATGTTGGACTGGACCGGCTCCTCACACCAGGACGATGTGCTGCTCCGGGCTGAGGGGCTGGGAATGGGCCCATCGCTGAGCTGAGAAGAAACGCTGTTTATTCGGGAAGAGTGGAGGGGCTCCGGGCGATCAGATGTTTTCACTGCCATGCGCTGGCGGCATAGCTCCTGGAGAGAGAGAGAGAGGAGGGAACAACCTACGGTT